TACAAATAAATAAAATTTTAAAGTTTATTAACCATTTCAACAAAGCGTGGTCCACCTGAATGGTGAACTTCCTAATATACAAGTAGTGACAATAATATTTTTCAAAGACAAACACAGCAAACAACTTCTTTTTTGTCATATGGTATCTATGTTCAGGAGCCATGAGCATATGACTAATGAATATGATTACACATTCCATTCTGTTCTGAAACTGTAAATTCCATGGTTTCTGACATCAATGTTCAGGAGAAACAGTCCTGGCAGGGATAAGCTAACAGTAGATCATCCATTAAAGCAAACTTTAGGGAATGGAATACCTGATCACATTCCAAAAAAGTATTTTAACTTTTGTAAGAGACGACAATGGTGCTGAGAAGCTAGCCACAAATCGTTGATAGTACAACACAAAACCAAGGAAAATGCAAACTTACTTCTTACTTTATCATAGGATGAAAACAATATCCCATCACAACTATCTTCGCTGAGTCGATCTAAACTCGATATTTCCCCATAGTGTGACCAAGAAACTCCACTTTTGTTCACGTGAGAGAACACTTCTTTGATTTCAAGCTTGCCTTTCATATTCTCTGGAATGGCATCGTCATGTTCTAAGATACTGATTGAAATGTAAAACCAAAAATCAGAACATTGTTGACATTGCTAGACATCTCCCCAATTGCAGTCCCTTGAGTGTAAGCTCCACCAGCCTCACGAAAGTAGTTGGTGCATTATACTAACTGGATAACATAACAAAGTTCACAGAGACCATCTTTTCTTCTAAAAGCAGTCTTAATCCTGCTTTCATCGTCCAGCTTGAATTACCAGTACTTGGATGTTACATATAAGGTGTTAAGCCAAGGAGATCATTCTAACACATCCATCATTAATCTGTCCATGTAAAGGGAAAGCATCTTCAATGTGTTGTAAATCCACATAGCACCTTGGTATAACTTTCTTCTCCCTGATCAATTACTACTGGAGATGACTAAGCACTTTCCAAAGCTCTATGATACCATCCTACAGCATTTACTGTGTTTCAACACTTGCAATATCCTTAGTTCTTCAAGGAAATTGGCGAGGTTGTTGCTTTGTTGGAAGTTCATCACATATGTCTAAATGGGGCTGTGTTACCATTGTTTGACCCACTCAGCCATCTGGTCCTACAAGCATATAAGATATTTACCCAACAAATCACTAAGTTGATTTTGCTTTATTAGGTCCAGACTGCCATCACAATCCTTAATCAATATCTTAAGGTGTGTCAGTAGCCTAATATTTGCCGTCAGTCATAGAGCAATGGCCAAAGTCCTCACATCACTGCTACCATCAGTTTAACCCTCTTCACTTACTGTACCTTAGACCATTCCAGTATCCAGCTGGATAGCCATTTAGCTATAATTACAAAGCAACATTGGGACTCCATCCTTTGGTGGGTGGATCACTGCCCGATCTAATAATGCCTACAGACAGGAAACCATTTATTTCATGCGTTGCTTCTATAACTGCATGACACACTAAATATAATTGCATTACACGGCTCCAATCTATTACATCTTGCCTGGATTAAACTATTATGCGTACATTGAGGTACTGTTATTTCCTTCCTTCATACTATTGTGTAATTTACTGTTCCTGGGCTCGATCTGGCTGGCATCGAATGACCTTCCCATGAACCATTAGATCACTCGTTGCACAGGCAGAACTTACTTACAAGTTCCACAATACATCCATCCCAAGGACTCCTATTCCATACCCGAGATTTGAAATGACCACTTTTGTTCTATGGGTGATACCTCCTAAACTAGAGATATATCTCTCCTTTAATGTCTAGTCTAACCTCATTCATAAAAATGGAGTTAGTATTCACTGGCTTTAGTGGTGGTCTCACATGGAAGGTTTGAAAGATTGTTAGGTCCACTAAGGTTCTTGCAATCCCTATATCAGCCAAAAACTCAACCTCTCACATTTACACCCTTATCAATATGTACCATTCAGCTCTTACAAAGCTGGGATGGCCACTAAACTCTTTAGTGCAGACTGTCCATTGTGCACCCCCCCCCCCACTAGTGGCCAAGCTCAACTTGGACTCCCTTGGTTTTCTGTGGTATTTGCCATAGCGTCTACCACTTGTTGTTGGTCATCCTCGACCTGCCAATCTGACAGCTGGCATCAATACACTTTGTTTCTTGGCAAAGTGCTGACACTATGGATCGGTGGCATCTGCTGAGTAATTGCCTGAAGCATCTAGCTCTACTGTCTTTGTTGTTCTTGCTGCAGCATATATTCTGTGAATGGATTTTGCTGCAGCATGTACCTCATGGGAGGATCTGCATAGCACTGCTCACTCACTCAACGTCATTGTGGTTTCCTCACAATTCTGTCCTGTGGAGGTAGCTGGTTGTTAACCCTCTGATTGAGTTTAGTCCACTGCAGTGGAAGCACCTGAGTTGCACCATTTATCAATGTAATTGCCACTACAATTTTTACTGTAATCTTCTTTCTCTGTAACAGCTGGTTTCAGTCAGCTACTGCAAAACATGAAATGATGAATACAGCTTCCATTAGAGTGATGATATTGCCCTCTTCCAAGTGCTATTATATTGGCTCATTGGGAAGTCTCTAAATAAACTTGCCGACAATGTTGTTCTCTCTATCTATAGAGGACAATACAGGGTATGACTCCCCATCCAGTTAGTGTAGCTAGTAAATGTGGGTGACCAGTTGTTTGATATTGATCTTTTTTCAAGTCTTGAATCTGACCCAATGAATCGCCCAATTCTCCACTTGGTGGAACTAGCTACATAGTTCATCCATGACAGTTTCCAGGTTGTCTTGCTACTCCTTATCCAAGTGTCAAACGATGTCTAGAGCTGTACCATCTTAATTTAGTTCCAAGCATTGTACAGCCTGCTGCCTAAATCCATCCATTCCAGGCAGTTATCTGCCTGAAACATTTCAGGAACTGATCTAGATCTTCTTTTACTGTCCCTTTGAACTTTGAGAACATGATATGCTTGACCTTGCTCATAGAACCTTGTATGCCAGACCAAAGCCAGTCTCTTTCTCATAATTCTAACAGGTTGTGGAAGGAAATGCTACTGATGTCTTTGATTCTCGGTGGAAATCACTTACAGGGACTCAAACATCTCAAATGGAGGTTTGTCCCTGTTTCAAGGTTGTAGGGTTATAATTATAACAATGGTTCATTGTAAAGCCCTAAATGACTCCAAATGTCTAGAGCTCCTATCCATCTGAAAAGTATCTTGCTGATAAAGTACTCCCTAAAATGTACCTCACTCCATGAATCACAGTCTTTACCTGTCAATGACTGTTGTCTCATCTGTTGGGAAAACAACTATGACTGGTGAAAATTGCCCACCAGTGGCATGTCCAACTTCTACCCATTATTTACCAGTATTCTTGACGAAAGTTAGGACTGCTGTACTCTGACTGGTAATAGTCTTGGAACTCAATAGAGACCTCCCCATATGGTCTGGAACTTGCCGGGTATCAAATCATTCAGGTGATTCTCAGTTATCTGCACTTTCCTTCGACTGAAATAGATTCTCAAAGGTACCATCTGCTTGAGTAGTCTAGATGCACCAGACATGAGCAAATCTCCTTGAGTTGGGATTGCAGGCAGACCAATGTCATGGACCTTTGCAGCATCAGCAAAGATATTTTGTCCAGAAGACGATTTCTTCCATACTCAACACCTTTCTCATACAACCTTCTCTCTCCACTGATAAGCTCTCCTTGTTTGTTACAAACACTTCTGTGTCCAAAAATTACCCTTATTTTTATTAGAATAATTCTTTAAAACTCTGTTAACTTGAGAGGTCAGACATAGGCTAGTACGCACGTTATTATTTCCGAAATTCCACAATAAATCCTAATGACATGACATCAAAATCTCACTTTTTGGCTAGTAGTGGTATAATAAAATAAAACTGATTACTCGAGAACTGTCAGATAGACAAACTCTCAAATAACCGCAGAATCGACCAAGAGAACAGGGGAGCTTTCTGTAATAAGTAATTAGATTGAGTTTCAATAAGTTTAAAATAATGAGTCTAGAGAAATTCAAATAAACAAACAAAATCTTTATCGTAATAAATAAACGAAAAACACAGTATTCATACCAACGCACAAAAATTACAGTCCTTTCTACTAGCTTGTGTTTAGCTCGACATCTTTCTCTCCCTCAGGATTAATCTCCGTAGAACTAAAGCAACTTGTATTTGGAAGAATTAAGTTTTCATTTAACGGTCTCCTGGTAGTAAATGGTTAAAGAAAAAGCGCCTGAGTTAAACAGGTAAATTTATTTTATTTGTGCAGCCGTCAGCGTCACATCGTTTCTGATGTTCCTTCACAGCATTAGATGACTGTTAAGTTTAGTCAAAACCATAAGTGGTCGGCAAAGGATATTACAGTGCCAATCCTTTTAACCCATATGCTATATGTATTACTGCAATAGACCCTCGAACAGGATAGACACCATCTACTATATTGAACATAGAAAAGAAACATTTAGAATGAGGTGATCTTAACGATTTTATAAACCACTTGTTGCCATTACAATACGGAAACTAAACAAGCTGAACATTTAAACAAAAGTCTTTATATCACTAAAGCAGCTATAAAATATATGATATGCTTGAATTTCACAGTAGTTTGGTAGTAAAAAGTGGTTAAGAGCATTTCTGATGTGCTAAGCATGATACGGCAACTTTATTAGTAGGAAATAAAATACATGTTTTGCATATAAATATCCAAGCTTTTTATCTATTTTCGCAAGAAAACACTCTATGACTGTGAGAAGACCTTCAGAAAAATTTTCGTTTTAGTTTACTCAGGTTGCATCATGCCTCGCATGCCATGATTAAAATATATACATAACAACTTTTGCGCTCAGTGGCACGAGGTAGCGTTTTATATGAACAAATGGTAGGCTTCAGAATTTATATATAATTTTTATTTTACTGTAGAAGTAAACTAACGAGAAGAAGAAGAAGAAATGGAAGATGACGTTTTGGCTTTTGAGCTTAGTGAGAGTGAGGATGATAGTAACGAACCTAGTAGGTAAGGGATTAATCTGTATTATTGTAATTCGGCGTCTCGCTAATACTAATAGTATTAGTAATAACTAAACAACAAGAAGCATCGAGACATTTTAGTTTTATTTTTAGCAAAACTTCAATGACATCAAAAGAGATCATTAGCTTTAAGTTTCATGATGTTTTTAAGTTAATTAGATTGTTTTTAACTTAAAAACATCATGAAAATAAAGTAGTTGTAAACATAACGTAATATGAGGGTATATTTATACTGATAGTGATAGACTGAGTACGAGTCATGAGAGGTAGAATGGTGTGGCATATTAATGTAGTTAAAAGAAAAAGGAAATATAATGCTTACTATTGAAAGTTATATGATCTAAAGTGTTTCACATGTTAGTATTATTGTTAAACATTAAACATTTGTTTTATGTTGTTTTTAATTCTTTAAGTTTGTCATTATCAAATTCAAATCCCAAGACTACCTATGGAATATGATTAAACTAAAATATAATGTGTTAATACTGTTACCCATGTACTGGCAGTTTAGAAAAACAAATCTTCTAGTATGGAATGCAAAATGTCCCTTAATTTTGAATCTTTTTTTTTTTTCTTCATAGAGTATAATAAATTGCTGTGAAGCATAAAGCTACATAGTGACTTATTTGTGCTGTTTACACCATGCATATCCAATTTTTAATGTCATAAGCCTTCAGTTTTACCACTGAGCCTCTGATGGGGAGGGAAGCATAGTAAATTATGGATCAACTTACACATTTTTATTGTAAATCTAAGTTTTTATTGGATTCATTCATGCATTTTAATATAGTAGTAGTGATTTTTTGTAAATATTTTTATAGCATGTGATGTGATAATTTTTTTTGTCACAGATTTCAGCAGTGTTGTTGAGTATCTGCAACCATAAGCACAGGAACGTTGAGAGCCAGCATGGGCCCCGGGGCAAACATCCTCGCCGGGCCCCCTTTTTCTCTCTCTTTTTAACATTTTCAAGAATTTATTAAGAAGATCATCCTAAATTAGGACATTAAACGAGCTCATAAACCAGACAAAATCATAGCAGCAGCCGTTTTTACCTCACAGTGTAAGCGTAAAAATGTTAATAAAGTAACAACAACTAACTATCTATTAAATCTATAAAGTAACAAATACGTATTAATTATTAATCAAATTATTATTTCATTCATTCTTAATGTATCAAGCATCTATATGCAAAGAAAAGCCAAAACTATGGTTTTTATCATTAACTGAAGATATAGCCTAAGGATGGTTTGCGGGCTTTATGGCATAACCAGGTTTCATTTGCTCGGGCCCCTGGGCAATTACCTCCTTTGCCCCCTCCCCCTGTCGGTGGGCCTGCATAAGCATAAATGCATTACTTTGAGAGAGGAATAACAGAATAAGATAGTATCATGTTTAATGACTTTCAAATATTTCATTCTAAATGATGGGTCAATTTTGACGAGATATACACTACAGAATACCAAAAACTGACATTTTACTTAAGTATCAAAATTAGTATGTACCAACAGATGGTGTATTCTAAATAATATATTTTTCATGGTTGTATTTACTGACATTTGATGAATAAAATGTGCTAACCTTTGACTGATGATGAAATGTTGTGTGTTAGTAAATGACCAATACTAAATTACTGTAATAATTGTTTACACCAGTAATATGTTATGAGGCTATAACTATCTCTATACAAATCAATAGGAATACTGTGTACCATTTTGATCTATCTATCTCTAAGAAAGGATATTGACTTATTTGGTTATTGGAAAGGGCTCAGACTCAAATGAGGGTTATTAGGAGTAGGAATTATCTTGCAGGGATAGTTTTAGATCTTCATTGAAAAAAGAAGGGTAAGAGCTGATCTTATTAAAGTTTACAAGATTATTCGGGAGATTTCTAAGATGAAATCCTCTGATTTCTTTATGCTATATTTTACATGCAATAGGATAAGAGGAAGCAAAATATGATTTGGAAAAAAATAAGGCTATTCTCTAGTTCAGATTGATATTTTTTATGGAACAATTGGCTTTCAGCAGTAGTGAAGGCAGGCACTTTACAAGGTTTTAAGAGGGGAATTGATTTTCTAAAAACTAAATTGTGGGTTTAAATTTTTTACTTTTCTCAAGGGCGAGTGTGTAAGGATAGCCTTAAAGGACCAGATGATTTCTCAATACTTGCTGCCTATGGACTGTTAGGTAGAATTATAAGTCATACAGGATAGTCATATATAGGTAGATATTCTGAATATATGTACACAGGTGAGCATTTCTTATAGATGAAGAGGAATCTTGTAAACTTTGCTAGTTTTAGGACACAAATTCATGAGATAAGTCACAGAATAATGCAAAAGGATTGGAGAAAGACATTTTAAGGTATGCCTATACTGGCCATTTGACATGAATTTTGCTCTAGACAGGTGTTTTTAAGTCATCATCATATAATGGCATAAAACCAGTTTACAAATAATAATGGCTTTGTGTGGATGCTAGGAAATAATGCTATGATTTTTATATCTAAAAGAAAGAGCCTTATTAATAATCAGTGATTAGTATAGACTTTTTTCATCTGTTTATAGACCTATTTCTGTTACTTAGTAATACACAAGTCTCAGTATTCTCAACTGTAATGAACATAATAAAGTAATGATAATAATAAAAAATTTAAGGGCGTGTTGTTCCATTGAGACTGTTTCATCCACTCAAATCTTATCCTGATCAATTAAATGTTTATTGAGCCTTCCCTTAAACCCCATTTAATTTATTGTAACCATTACATCTGAAGGCAATTGATTCCAGAGGCCAACCACACTGTTAGAAAATTAAAACTGTCTAAGTTGAAAATGACTCTTACCCTAAAAATATTTTGTGTCCCCTTGCCCTACCAATCTCAATATTAAGTCCAAAAAAAAAGCTTATGCATTGATACGATCAATTTCCTTGATAATCTTAAACACCTCTAATGCCCCTCTAACTCTTCTTATTTCAAGAGGAAATGATTTCAGAGATCTTAACCTGTCCTTGTATGACAACATTTTCATCCCAAGTATCATTCTAGTTGACCTTCTTTGAACCCTTTCTAACAGTTCAGTGTCATTCTTAAAGTAAGGAGCTCAAAACTGAGAACAATACTTCAGACAAAACCTATACAATGAAATTATAGTAACTTTAGAATTGTCTTTAATATTTTTGTAAATAAAATCCAAAATCCATTACCATTAGCAAGAGCACACTGCAAGGATGGCTTAAAAGACTGATAAATCTAGATGTCAAGATCTTTTTCTCCTACAACAGTATAAAGATTATCTGACAAAAATTATTGTAACATGATGATTTTGCAGGATGAAAATTTAAAATGAGTTGATACATATAAATGTTTTAAGATGTTATTATAAGCTCTTTAAAAGCTGTAACTTTGCATAAATTCCCCAATATTTAGGATACTGTGCTCTTGTTTTCAATTTTAAGTCACAGAACACTTAAAGAATATACTGTTAAGATTTTTGATTGGCCTAAGTAAGTGGATATTAAGAATATATTGGTATCCTTAACTGAGAGATTAGATAAACCTGGTATTCCATTTAATTGTGGTTTTAAATATACAAAAGTAGCAGGATCAACTCTTTATATTTTATCTAGTTTATTCATAGCTTTTTACCCTGTAGAAACTTATGAATGAGGAAATACTTTAAAAAGATTTGAGTGACTGTCATGAAATGTGGACCTTGTATTCATTCTACCAAGTTGGTTAGCCTGTTTACAGTTTTTCTTTTATAGTTCAGAAGATGAACTGGAAGCATACATCAAGAAAAAGTTTGAATTATGTGATCCTGATAACTTTGAACAGGAAATGGACAGTGAGCTTGCCAATGAATTAAAGGAACGTGAGGAACAAAGTATTCTAGGTATGGAGTTAGAAGGTGTAAGTCAGAATTCTGCATTACCCAAAGGCAAAAAGAAAATTAAATTTGATGATTCATCAGAATCAGACGATGAAGATTTTTCAGGTAATTTTCATTATATAATTTGGAAATCCACTAATTATTGATATTAGTACGTATGGATGTAATTTAAAATGTGTTTTTACTTGTGCAAATTCTTTTTATTCTGTCAATCAAGCTTTCACCACTTAATTATTTGTATAGGTTCAAATATGTATTTGATGAGATACATAATTAAAACAATAAATTTATCTATCTATTTCAGCTTGTTTTTTTTTTCTTTAAGTGAAAGCATGAGCAGAATTTTGATTGCTAACTTAGTATTTACTTTCTTATAATTATATTGAAAAAATATGATTAAATCATAATCCAAGCTACAAAATCATAGTCAGTAGATATTCATTTGCTTTCTTAATAGTGATTCTGACTTGAATATTCAGAACTACTAAATATACAAGATTTTTTGTTTTCCTATCATTTACAGTTCTACTTTGAGTAGGCTGTGATATTCTTACATGAATACATGATCTTTTTAATTATAAATTATACTTGCATGTACTTGAATCTTGAAAATCTGATGATAGGTTTTGTTGTTTAGTATGTTAGCTTATGGGGAAAGAACCATTGTGAGATCCTGCTAATATTTTCGAGATAACCCTTTTTTCCCCAAAAAAAATCTGAGCAGCAAGGAAAAGACAAATGATTAATTCACCCATTTTCTTGCTGTCAGTAAAAGGCTGTTTGTTCTTGATTATTTATTTTACTGCTATACAAGACACTTGGTTAATCCTTAGTCTTATCATGACAACTTGAATTCCCAAGTGTAAAAATGTAACAAGTAACCAAGTTGAATGGTGTATCATATACATAAAAGCTACATAGAAACATTCAATGTCACAAAGGTCATTAAACAAATTTTTATTGAAGTAGTATAATATTTTATAAATCCAAATAATTATGTAAAAGGTTATTACTAGTAATCCATGTTACTGAGCTAAGAATTCGAAAAGTTTGATTTAATATCCCTTGATTATGGTGTGAAGAAAATATCTCATCAATTAAATCATTCCTAAGATCTATAAAAGTTTGTTTAAAAATAATGCATTTGAGTACAGGCTTGAATATGACTTTAAAGACTCACTGTTGTGTGATTTATGATTAATAAATGTGACATACTAGTCCAAATTGTGTGTTCTGTGGTAAACTTTATAGTATTTTATGTAGTGTATACCATTAAAATATGTTATGTGAAATTCACTTCTCTTAGCTACTTTTAACACAAAATTTAATTTCTTTTGATAAATACATTTATATTCAATGTTTAAGACAGACACCATTATCTTATCAGTAATACTGATCGAAAGTAAGCTAACTATAATTGCTTACTCATAATACAAAAGAGCTGCTAAAAACTGTTCTTCATATCACAGAGCTGTTCTATAGCTAAATTTACAGGTACTATATAAGTTATGATGTTTTTTCATAGCATGTATTACTGTTATTAAATGTGTGGTTACATATTTGTGAATATACCGTACAGTTACTTTTAATTAAAAGAGCAGAATGTGAGAAATATATAGGTATCATTAAAACTATAATGTTCATAGTTACAAAATTAGAAAATATGCAACAACAATTATTCATATGGATTTTGGATGTCAGATGTGGGCCAATCAGCACATTGTTACAATAACTAGACATTTATTTGGTAAGTGTGCTAGATTGAATACAAAGCATTCTGCATTTCATCTTATTAATTTAACGGCTGTGTGTTTCCAAGTAAGTACTTCACAGTTAACAATCTGTTTTTACTTCTTTTTCTTTTCATTTAAATATTTATTGACCTTTCCTTAAACTCCTTTAATGTACTGCATCCTCCACATCTGAAGGTTACCCATTCCAAAGTCCAACAACTCTGCTTTAAAAGTAAAACTCTTGAAGTTGAAGATGACTCCTATCCTGTCAAAACTTATTTGTGCTCCTTCGTCTACCATTCTTATCATCAAATTGATAAAAGATGAAACATTATTATTATCAACTCCTTGAACAATCTTGAACACCTCATTCAGCTTTACTCTAACTCTTTTTTTAAAAAAAAACAATCTTAGAGTTCTTAACATCTCATGTATCACCCTGGTAGTCCTTCATTGAATATTTACGATACAGTACATTACCTCCACTCACATAAATATTAATTCTTGTTTGGTGCTTCCCTCTGTAAGCAAACTTTTTTAGCATGCCACAAGACTTGATCTCCCATGTACCTGCTGAGCAAACATGGTTCAACTGCATATTGCATGCAAATCATCATGCGACAACTCTCCACCAATAAGAGTGGGACACACCCTTATGAAGCATGTGACTCCCTCAATTCAATTCTACAGAACTATCTGTCGTCAAGAAGTTCTTTGTTTGTGCTGTCTTCCTGTGTTTATTTTTCTTTCGAAATTTCATATGAAGTTGAGGTATCTTCTATTTTTTTCACCAAAGCTTATGTTTCCACCCGAAAATGTTATACTTTACATCCAGCACAATTTTCTAGGCTTCAGGTGGTGGTACTTGACTGAGTAATTGTCAGCTTTAATACACTGGAAGATTGGTTGTTATATGAGTTGACCTTTGGGCCTTGAGTTTGGTGGCCCACACATTTGGGTCTGCTGATTTTGGACAGATAAGCTATTATACTGTTGTGGCATTTGAATCTTTTGATATTAATATTATTATTTGTAGTTATTTAGTTTCAATAACATATGTTTAGTTAAATTTGTACCTACTTCTTGTACAGTTAGTTTTTCAATTAACGTTTAGTGATATTTTTTTGCACTAAAATGTTAGTTTAGGCTTAACATGTCTTTGTAATTTTAGGCTTACCTGTCATTCATCTTACTGGTAAATTGTACATTAGGTTAAATATATTGTTTCTTTAACAAATCCTATCTACTAAATTTTTTATTGCCAATATACACTTACTTAATTTTATAATATAATGACTTTTTCATTTTCCTAATTAATTATATTTTATATTTCTTACAATTAATTTCGTTTTTGAGTACCCAGGGTCTAGGGTCTGCCCAATCTAGTTCCACTATTGCCCGCCTTCCTCCTCAAAGTGCCGAACTCATTCAGGATGACATCAATTTTGACTATTTTCCTCCACTTGATTATGAATTGGCCTTCCAAAGCCTCTACTGCAGAGTTTGCTAGGCCTACCTCAGCCCTTTTTATACACCTTTCACAGTTGGTTTTTTCTTCTTTCCCTCCTTTTC